TATCCATATTTTACACATATATATATATATATATATATATATATATATATATATATATAGAATGTTTTCTTTTTCTTTTTTTATAATAAGCCTGCACATTGCATGTGTATCTCCCTAACTTACTCCATATGGTATCTCTACAGGCTGTATAATGTTTCAGAGTCTGTGAGTGAATACTACAGACTGGACGAAGCAGATGACATCCCCTTCATTTGCTCCACCACTCGGGAGAACGGAATGTTGCACTGCTCCAACATCCCGAAACGCAGAGTTGGACGGGCTGATTGTGAACTCACGGCTTATAATGTCACAGATCTTATTTTCAAAGATCCCCCTCATCATGGATGTGTAAACTGGAACTTGTATTACAACAACTGCAGTGCAAGCGAACACAATCCGCATAATGGGGCTATCAATTTTGACAACATTGGATATGCTTGGATTGCTATCTTTCAGGTGTGTATGTGAGTCATTGAAAAGAGTATTGAATGAGTTTGTCTAAAAAAAAAAAAACATGCAAAGTCATCAATACATTTTTAGGAAGGCAGGTCAGGAATTCTGATTTGTTTTTTCTACTTGGATGAATGTGTGTTAGAAATCTGCTCCAAGTTGTTCATTAAAATTTTCGCTAAGTATATATTCAGTCTGGCAGGTGGTGATATTTTTTTTTTATCCTCACATATCCTTTTGGCGCCGAGAGACACTTACTTTCAGAGTCGGAAAATGAAGTGAATGGTTGCCAGGGGCTACAGCGAGAGTGAATCCTCTTACATCAGTAACCAACTTACCTATAGGAAATCAAGTTTTATCATGTTCCATTCTAATCTAATCTTTAGGGCAACAATATTTATCATATTCTTTAGTAATCTGATTCAGGATGAACACGAACACGTATCTGGTTTCTGAGTAATCCCACTAACCACAGCATGACGTTTATCATTCCATAGAGTTTCCTGACCTAGATTTGTGGAAGCAATGAACAATATGTGAAGTTGTCCTTTGTATTTTGGCACTTGATAGAAGTGCTGTATTTTAAGCATTACATGAATGGTGGATATTGTAACCTGTATAATCTTGTTTGTGTTTTCTCATCAGGTCATCACGTTAGAGGGATGGGTGGATATCATGTACTATGTCATGGATGCGCATTCCTTTTACAACTTCATCTATTTCATCTTTCTTATCATTGTAAGTGCACAGTACTTAATTAACTGATACATCTTCCTCTCTTTTCACCTCTGCTGGAGTCTCTGTTTTCATAAGTTGCATGGAAATGTTTTTGTTATCATCAGTGGTGTAATTTACTCAAGTAATTTTACTTGATAACTATACTTAGAGAGATGAAAATTCTGTCATCATTTTGGAGAATTTGTAATTGAGCAATGTTGAAACTGAATGAATGCTTGTACTTAAGAAACTTACTGCAATACTACATTAATGTACTACATTTCTAAGGAGAAAATCATACTTTTTATACAATCTTGGACCTTCAAAGTACATATTTAATGACTTTTAAAATCTATCATTGTATTAAAATCAATAATAGGGTCTTGATTTGTCATTTTCAAAAGCTAAAAGCAAAGTTTTTACTTTTAAATGTACTTAAATGTGGAAGCTTTTTAGTTGGTATTGTTAGATGGATACTTGGATACTAAAAAAGTACTACTTAAACCTAAAAGTACTACTTGTAGAAATGAGAAAATAATTGTTTTACCCATAAAAACTACCTATGCTTAAACTTACACTACCGTTCCAAGTTTGGGGATGGTAAGGTTTTTTATTGTTTTTGAAAGAAGTCTCTTATGTTCACCAATGATGCGTTTATTTGATCAAAAATACAGTATAAAACAGAAATACTGATAATTTCTATTTTAACATATTTCAAAACATTTACTCCTGTGATGCAAAGCTGAATTTTCAGCATCATTACTCAAGTCTTCAGTGTCAAATGATCCTTCAGAAATCATTCTAATATGCTGATTTACTGCTCAAGAAACATTTCTTCATGTTGAAAACAGCTGTGCTGCTTAATATATTTGTGGAAAGTATTAAATTCTTTATGAAAAAAATTACTTACCCCAAACTTTTGAATGGTGGTGGAAGTACACTTTTCGGACGATCATTTGTGACTCAAAAATTATTGGAGTATACATTTAATACAGTGTGTGTGTGTTTGTGTGTGTGTGTGTGGGGGGGGGTGTTGCATTTTTGAATGAAAATTATTTTCTAACTTTTCAAATACATTTTTCCAGTTTAGTGTTCATAAACGTGTCATGCAAATCACTATTTTATTGATTAGAAACATTAGGTCATGAAATATGCATGAATACCCAATTACAAAACATCAGTATTCTAGGTATTTCATAATCCTAATGTTTTTGGGCTATTGTTTTCTATGTTGTATACTCATATCTTGTTTTGCCACAGGTAGGCTCCTTCTTCATGATCAACCTTTGCCTGGTCGTCATTGCAACACAGTTCTCCGAGACCAAACAACGTGAGAACCAGCTGATGCAGGAGCAGCGGGCACGTTTCCGCAGTAACGAGTCCACCTTAGCTAGCCTGACCGAACCAGGATCCTGCTACGAAGAAATGCTGAAATACCTCGTCCATGTTTGTCGTAAACTTTGCCGTCATGCCGCACGCCTCTATGGTGAATTATGCCACAAGAGACACAGTGGTGTGGCCAATCCCAGCAGCTCCCTCTCAGTGGGCGGGACTAATGACTATCGGAGTGACAATGGGACAAAAATGGGTCCGACCCAATACTGTATGCTGCATTATCATCATCCTCTTCAGCATCAACATTATATCAGTAATGGCATAGAAATGAAGACCCTTCATCTCAATAGAGATGCTCAGAGTTCCAAAAAGACTCCATCGCTTCCACTTGCACTACAGAATTTAAAGGGTTTGAGGCTCGGTATGAACTATCCCACCATCCTGCCCTCCAAACTATACACAAACCCACATACTCGCTCACACTCGACAGGTGGAGTCAAAGCACCAGCTTTCCATCATGGACTGAATGGCAGGAAGATTTCCATTTGTAGTGGATACCATGGTACTTACAAGTTGCAGCATGGTAAGAACATAGATAAGCAGTATTTTGTTATCTAATGCAATTACATTCATATATTAAGGTAACACTTAATATATGACATTCTGTTAACTATAGGTAACTCTGCAAGTACATGACAACTTATTCTACTAACCCTATCCCTAACAGTCCCATTAGTTGACATATAGTTGCAAAGTTTCTTATAATTAGTAGAATGTCTAAAGTAGACTATAGAAATAAGTTGTATTCTATATTAATTGTGGCTTAAAGGTACAAATATTTTTTTAGGGCCACTGTACATAAAGCATATTAAGTAAAATATGACAATCTCTATGCAAAAACAGAAGTGTTTTTGGCCATGCTGTCATGTTTCAAATTGGGTTTGTGGATTAAGAGTAAATTCTGTCTCTGGGGTTTTAACTTAATAACTTAGATAATGGAATTCCTTTTTTTTTTTCTTGGCTTTGCGCACTTGACATGCCCTAATAATTCCAAATTGAATTGAGGGAACCGTCTGCACAAACACACACTCTGTCTAGTCATTATTTTTGTGCCTCTTGACTTTTGCCTGAAATTACCTGGTGAGGAAATCTTGGGATTTTTCAACATTTTAGTCAAAATGCATTCATAACTTTGATTTTCGTCTCAGCATCTTGTGGGTAAAGTACATCCGCGCCCACACTTCTGTACAGCTACATTATTAGATATAAAACTTTATTTTGCAGTATATGGTCAGGTTGCCCTTCGTCAAGTTTTTTTTTTTGGCAAACAACAGTGGTGTGGTTTGAATGCCAGCAGCCATTAGAAATTCCAATAGGAATCTTGAAAATATTTACATCATAATTTGGAACCTAAATGATCCTAATGCAAAATGTATCATGGGGTTTTAACATAACACACACACAAAAAAGAAATTTTATGATTGACAACAGGATAAATTAACAAGAAAATCCTTACTTTGTAATACATTTTTAGAATGTAATTTATTCCTGTGATGCCAGTGCTGAATTCCATTTGCATCCATTACTCATTTCTTATTATTATCATCAATGTTGAAAACAGTGCTTATTATTTTTGTAGAAACAGTGATACTTTTTTTTTGGATTCTTTGATAGATAGACAATTCAAAGAACAACATTTATTAGAAATAGAAATATTTTGTAAAAGTCGGTCACTTTTGATAAATTGAATGCATGCTTGCTATAAAGAAGTATTAATACAAGTATAGTTTATTATAAAAGTTTAAATATTATAAAAGTATTCATTTCTAAAAAATAAACATGATCGCCATTACTCATTTCTTATTATTATCATCAATGTTGAAAACAGTGCTTATTATTTTTGTAGAAACAGTGATACTTTTTTTTGGATTCTTTGATAGATAGACAATTCAAAGAACAACATTTATTAGAAATAGAAATATTTTGTAAAAGTCGGTCACTTTTGATAAATTGAATGCATGCTTGCTATAAAGAAGTATTAATACAAGTATAGTTTATTATAAAAGTTTAAATATTATAAAAGTATTCATTTCTAAAAAATAAACATGATCATTTATGATACATTTTTGCTATTTTTATTTACATTTATTTTTGTTATTTAAAATAAGAAAAAAGAAGCAAATTACAAACACAATAGAACAAAAATACAAATAAAATAAGTTAATAAAGAGCCAAAAGTGATTCAGTCAAGAGCAATGAGTCATTTTCTCTTTGTCTTTTGTTGTTTGATTAACATTAATGTCAGACAACAGTAGGTTTATTAGATTGCTGTCACTTTAAGACTGACTAGACGGATATACTGAAACAATATACTGAAATATAATGATATACACATGTGTTTATGTTAATTTAACACATAACCGACTGTGTTTATACGGATACTCCACACGATGGGTATTTTGGCATAATTGTGTGTGGATTTGACCATTCAAGCACAATAAGACGTGAAAGTGAACTGAATTTGCGATCGCATGCTGTCTGAGAGATGTGCTTTCTGTCTGTGCACACGCTTCGGGTGTCTGTCAGCGTGCAAGCTCCGCATTGAGTTCCCTTTCAGTCGGTCACTCTCGACGTCACGTCGGATGACCGACGAATTGGGATCTCGCTTAGAGTGACCAATCTACTTCGAGTGCGATGCGATTATTGCATCCAGCTGCTGCTGATCACAGCGTGAGTATAAGTAGGCAGCAGATGCAGTGCATATTCAGCTTTTCGCTTCAGAGCCGAGCGGTTCTATCGTTCTGCTCCTGACCTTCCTACAGTAGTGAGAAAAACTACAGTCAAGCACGCTCTTCGGTGGGCTCTCGTGCTGGTGGACGGCGCTTCAGCGGCGGTGGTTTTCCCGTGTCGAGTGGGTTGCACACAACAGGCTGCACTACCCCTGTGTGTGTTGCAGACGGCCATCTCCCCTGTGCGCTTCAGCACACTAAAAGAGCAATTTCCATTCTAAAAGAGCTTCATGGGTGGAACGTCTTTTTAAAGACCTGTCTTTTTAAAGATGTCATACCATCCGTGTGTTTCTGGGCACGGTCGTTACCTGGCGCCGGGTGATGGTCACGATCGCGGCCTCTTGTGCCTGGGCATGAAGCACGCTGAGGTGGCTTTCGTGGATGACTCATGCTCCCACTGCGGGGGGTATGACCATCTCGGAGTTGCGGACCAGACTCCGTTACCTGCAAGGGGCGGAGTGCCCGTGCCACTGCCTAGATCTGGGGCTCCCTCTGGTGGCAGCCGGGGGCGTCCTTTTTCTAGCGGTGGGCGGACTGGTCTTACGGTCATGGTGAGGAATTCCCCTCCGGGGATGCCCAACCCCGCCGGCACTGCGAAACCAGCGGAGCTCTCAAAAGAGCAGGCTGGCCCCTCCCGGGGGGTACCACCTGTTTCTTCCGAGGCTCCCCCCGACGATCGGATGTCAGTTGCAGCATCGGAGGGTGAGCCGGACTTTTCCGGGGATGAAGATCCGTCAGCGTTGCCGCCCTCTGGGTGGTCAGCGGTGCCAGAGACGGACCCGGAAATGATGGCTATGATTTCCCGGGCCGCCGAGAGTGTCGGGCTTGAGTGGAATCTTCCACCGCGTCCCTAACCCTCAAGGTTGGATGATTGGTTTCTAGGGGTGGCGCGCGCTGGTTCTCAGGGCCCCACCGGCCCCCGGCCGCCGCCCCCGCTCCCGCGCAGCGTCCACAGCAGCCTCCAGCAAAACTGCGCAGAGGAGCCGGCCGCAGGGCAGCTGCCCCACCCGTCCAGGCCCCCGTCAGACCTGGTGGTAAGCGAAGGAGCAAGAGGCCCTGAGACGCGGATCAGGGAGGACGAACCAACGGACTACCCACGCACCCTCTGCTCAAACGCAGGTCAGTGTTACACACACCCAGACCCCGCCTCGGACCAGCAAAGAGACGCCCGGGCCGGGTCCCTGCGTTCTTCCTCGCTGCCCCACTGCGGGTACACCTGTAGTTCCGTTGATGCCATTTGCGCGGTATCTGGTAGCCTGGCTAGAGCTACCCAGCCTGTCTCGATGGCTCCGTCGAACCGTCAGGCTCGGCTATGAGATTCAGTTCGCCCAGCGCCCTCCCAAGTTCAGGGGCATCCACTTTACGTCTGTGAAAGCAGCAGAGACCCCTGTCTTGCGTGCAGAGATCGCAGTCCTACTGGCGAAGGACGCGATAGAGCCGGTTCCTCCAGCCGATATGAGGTCGGGGTTTTACAGCCCTTACTTCA